AATCACATCCCACACTCTTCCAATTTCGAACACGACATGGCCGGCAAAGGTCAATACCCTCACTCATACCTAATTTACCCAAAGATAATCTAATATCAGAGATGGGTTTTTAATAGGGGCTTCAATTGAGTTAGGGTTTTGTTCAATTAAATCTCATTAGTTTGATTCTAATTCAATAAATTTGAGTTAGGGTTTTGTTCAGTTCAACTTTATTAGTTTGATTCTATCATTGGCATCAGGGGCATTCAAACACATCTATCTAATGAATAACTGGAATGATGGAAATAATATGCATTTTCTTTGTCATTTCAATGCAGTGATAAGTTAGGTTTAAGCGTTGAATTAGGTTCTTTTGTGGTTGGACTAATTATATCATTTACTGATCTCATATGGTCAAGAAATATGTAAGCTATCTTTATACTCGAGAGAAATTTAGTACATTGGACACAATCATTCGTCCTCTTTCTTTTTTTATTTACTTTTTTTAATCTAATTTCCCCCTCAATTTTCTGCCATGCTCTTTCATTTGGTTTTTGATTTTCCTACAGGTTTTCATTTGAAAGGAAAATATTGCATTCAAATGAATTCTTCGCTACTCAGGTTTATAATTTTTTTTTGTTTTTTTCCCTTGCTCAGGCATTATTTTCTTTTCACTGCATATTGATATTGAGTTTTTGTTTGGAAATGCCTCTGTTTTTTTTTGTTTTTTTTTGTTCACTTGCTAAAAATGCCTCTACCAAATTTTAAGGACCTTTTCTTTGTTTCTTTTTATCTTCCTCTTTCTTTGTCCAGTTATAAAGCAGTTTTTCATTTTTGTTGCTATAAAGACCTTTTCTTTGTCCAATTATGCCTAACCCAACTCTTTCTAATTTAAATGCACTCCTTTTGTCACACATTGTATATGATAGAGCAGATGAAATAAAAAAAAATGAAAATCGGATTATATATGCTCCTTCTTTATCATAAGAAAACTTTGTCTTAACTTTTGGGTATGTGTCCCCCATTTGTTTACTTTTATGTTATACTGTTTTGAGTTAAATTTAACAAACCATCCACACTAAGAGCTTCCTTTTTCAAAATGCGAACCCATACAGAGAAAATTGCAAATTCCTTTTTTTTTTTTTTTGAATAACAAATTCCAATTCCAACCTACTTTATATATATTCTACATATGTATGCCCTCCTCCAGTACAACATTGTATATCCATGTCTTCTCTATTTTAACTTTACATGTTACTCATTGGTATGTTGTTGCTCTCAGACTTCATATAATCCTCATTCGCTTTTTAACACGATTCCTTTATATATGGTTTCTTCGTGAAATTAATCACATCATATTATTACATCATCGTCATAACGATATCTTTTTGACTATTTTAATTTCTTCATAAACATTTGTATTTTACTGTTTTTGTTGCTATAAGTGATTGATTTGAACTCCCCGACTCTGTTTAATTAGTATCACTGAGATATATTTGATATTTGACTGAAGTGCGAATAATGGGTTGGTTTGAATGCACTCATTTTAGCCTTTTTTGCATCTGATAGAGCATATGAAAATAGAGGGAGACAAAAATCTCATTTGCACCTTCAGGATCACAAATGAGCTCTATCTTTGTCTTTACTTATATGTCCCCCTTTTGTTTTCTTATATGTCCGCACTAACAACTTTTTTTTTTTTCAAAATTTGTAGGAACTAGCTGAAACTGTAAACCTCAACATAATGAAGATGAAGATGAGCTGAAAAGTGAAGAAGGAAAATCTAGACTCAGTAACATGTTCATAATCTATCTAAATATTTTGAATAATGATCAGTTTAATGTTGTTAATCTTTTTATCACACTAATATGTTGCTAATTTACCTTCTCAAACAACAGACATGTAAATATTGATATATAAAACTTATTTATATTAAATACCATTGTTTTAAACAGTATTCTTAAAGACATCTCCAACTGAAGGGTCCAGAGGGCTAGAGGGCCAAAAATAGCCCAAAAAACCTTCTCCAACCGAGGGTTAGGCCAGAGGGCTCATGAAATCTGAAAGGGATGCAGGGCTGACCAGAAAACTGATTAATTCTGTATTTTGAATCCAACGGCTAACTGGTACTAGTTACCGTTGGATTCAAATTTTTTTTTTTTTTAAATTCTATTTTTTTCAATAAATACCTAAACCATTCCTCACAAAATTTTCACCATTCCTACACCATTTCAATTCTCATATTTTCCCTCCTCTTTCAAAATTCTATCCTTCAATTTTTTTAATAATTTTGAAATGGCCTCGTCTACAATGAAAGGTAGGGCTTGGACCCGAAAAGAAGATGAAGTTTTTTGCAAGGCTTATAGATGGGTGTCGAAAGATAGTGTGAGAGGGAATTGTCAAACAAATGACGGTGTTTGGACTCGTGTGTCCAAAAAATACTTAGAGTTCTATGAAGACACCACTCCAATGAATATTCGAAACCACGAGAGTTGTTCTTCAAGATGGAAGAAACATCTTCAGCCAAGTTTGAACAAATGACATCAAGCATTGTTAGCAGCCGCAAGTAATCCTGAAAGCGGCACTAATTACTACGACGAAGTAAGTGTTTTCACAATTTATTTTAAATATTTAATTATATTACATTTAATTTCATAAATTAATTTCCTTTAATTTTTTTCTAGGTACTCCAAGCGGAGGAATTGTATATGGACAGCAACTCGAAACCCTTTCAGTTTCACAGTTGTTGGGAAATTTATAAAGGATAGGTGTTATTTGAAGATCCACCATAGAGAGCTCCTATGCCGATGTTCAAAACTGCATCCTCAGCTGCAGATATGGATGAAGATGGATCTCCAACCATTCAACAAACAAGGGTAGAAAATCCATCTTCGGGTGAAGGTTCCATACCTAGGGTTAGGTGACGAAATAAGGCGCGAAGGTTGAAGGAAAAGGTTAAGACAAATGATGATTACGCCGCTCAACATGAAGTGGCGGCCTCATTGTGATTATTGGCAGAGCAAAATGCCCTTGAGGCAGAAGAAAGGAAGTGTAGGCATGAAGAATGGGCCAAACAAATACAAGAAGAGATGGATGATAAGAATATGGAAATGAACACTTCGAATTACAATCCAATAAGTAAAGCCTATTTTGATAGAAGAAAAAAAAAAAATTTATGAGCCAATGGCAATTGTTTACCTCTGACTATACTCCTACAATGGTGGATGATGAAGATGATGTTGATTATGGATATTAAATTTAAGTTGTTTTAGTTTTTAAATTTAAGTTGTTGTAGTTTTCAAATTAATTTGTAGTTTTTTAATTTAATTTGTCGTTTTTTAATTTTAGTTGTAGTTTTTAAATATAAGTTGTAGTTTTTAAATTTAAGTTGTTGTTTTTAAATTTAAGTTGTTGTAGTTTTTAAATTTAAATAATAAATTATGTTTGGCCCTATGGCCCTCGGTTGGAGACGATTTTTTGTGACAGGGCTAAAATAAGCCCTCTGGCCCTTTGGTCCTCGGTTGGAGATGGAGGCAAATATGGCCATGTACTGTTCATTAAAATATTAATATCTTGGAGGGCTAGATGGCTAAAACGAACCATCTGGCTAACCCTAAGTTGGAGATGGTCTAAACCTCGCAGCAAAGTACGAGTATTCATGCTTGTAACATCTATTCATAAGAGAGGGAAGTCAGTCGGCATAGAGGAAGATGAGATCAAACCAAAAGCAAACTTACACCGCCTAAAAACTATGGATAGGTAATAAGAATAATATAAAATACTAAAGATATTTATAAATCCTTTCACACATGAATATTATAAAATATGATTTTAGGAAATGTACATATACACATAATCACAATAGGAAATAATTATTTTCTTGTAAATAATATATGCATTTAAAAATATAGGTCTTAACAACTATTTACGTAAAACTAGCATATTGTACCTTTTCGCCTATCAGCCAGATATTCAACGGTGAAGTGATAGGTGTTCAGTTGAAAGTGGTGTGAACCGAGCATCTTGCTCAACCTTGGTTATCCTACACGTCTCTTCGAGCACCGCTCCGAACACTTTTACAAAAGCAAATATTTATGTCAAGGGTGGGGATAAATTGATATCGAGCTCCTAATCTATGAAATTTAAACATAAGGCATCTTCTTACAAATGAATAAGAATAGCAATAACTGTATTGCTAAGTAGCAATTAAGCAATTGTTTAGAAAAACTTTTAAAGTCAAAGATGAATAAATTTTGAAGAAAGCGAGACATATAACCCTTTATTATAGTGATAGAGAGGAGTGTTACATTTGTATCACTGTGTGGATTTGAATTTCGTCGATTCTCTAATCTAACAAACCTATTATTTGTTAAGGAAAAAAAAAAGTTTAGAGATCTTAGATGGCACAAAAGATAAAATTAATGCAAGAAGTTTGGCTTTTCATCATTGCAAAAATGTAACGTAACTTGACAAGGTTTTTATATAAATTAATATCTTCGTAGACCTTGTTTATCACCTTAACAAATATCGTATTTGAAAAAGAAAAAAAAATTTTGTCCTTGATGCATCAATTGTATCAAAGAAGATTGAAGTTGATGTATTAATTGTATCAAAGGAGATACGAACATGATGGACCAATTGTATCTTATCAAATTAAAATCCAAAATAAGTATAAATTTAAATTTGTTCATCATTTAAAAAGAGAATTGTTATTGACACTTTAAATTTTTCATTCTACACTTCAAACTTTCTATATTTAGAAAAAAAATTTAAAATCCAAAATAAGTATAAATTTAAATTTGTTCACCATTTAAAAAGAGAATTGTTATTGACACTTTAAATTTTTTATTCTACACTCCAAACTTTCTATATTTAGAAAAAGAAAAATATACTCCTTTATTTAGAAAAAATACACTTATAAAGGATGTAGAATAAAATTTTTAAAATGCCAATAACACTTCCTACAAAAAAAAAAAAAAAGTGTATAACCTTTGGGTCTTATTTTCATTTTCTTTTTCAGTAGCCCATGCAGGCTATAGTGTACATCGCATCAGACCCTAGCAGGAGGGCGGACGATCTGCCTCCGAAAACCTAACCATAGCGCCGTCTGAGGTGAAGGCTTGGATTCATAATCTTTATATCTTTATCCCGAACGCAAAAACCATAGCAGGGAAAAAACCCCCAAATCCCCCAACGCCAAGGTGAAGACTTTCTCACTCACTTGCTCTCTCTCTTTTTGTCAATCCTTTATTTTATATATGGAATCTGTTTGTGATTTGTTTACTGGAAAGCTCGTTTGTTTTGATTTCGCTTGTGCTTGTTTGCTGGTTAATCAAATGATTGAGGATGGATTATTTAGCAGAGCACCCACTGTGTGTGTGTGTGTTTGTATTTTTCGCTGTTTGTGTCCTTGGAGGAGCTTGTTCGTTGGTGGGTAAAGCTAAATCAATCATTTCTGGTGCAAATATTGTATTTTTAGATTTCTAGTTTTGATCGTGTGGGATTCCGAATGAATCTGCTCAAGCTGTGCACTTAACGTTATTCACAAAGTTTAGAGCTTTGGATGTTTTTTTTATCTGTTTTGGAGAAAATATCTACTGGGTTGTATTCTTTCATTGTTTCTGCATTCTGGGCATTACCCAGATGAGATGATTAATGTGTTGAATCACAAAAATTTGAATTTGGATTTTGATGTTGATCCAATTATCTTGGGGGGCAAGTGTACAAGCATGTATGATTGTATTCAGTGATGGGTTTGTTCAGATGCGTGGATTGAGTTATTTCAGTTATTTTTGGTAGCAGGTTGGTTGTACTGAGGCTTATTTGCATTTTGTTTCGAAGCGAAAAATCGAAGCTTGATTTGGAAGAGATGGGGTATATTGGGGCACATGGTGTGGCTGCTTTGCATAAATACAAGTACAGTGGCGTGGATCACTCTTACACTGCCAAATATATCTTGCAACCCTTTTGGAGTAGCTTCGTTAAAATCTTTCCCCTTTGGATGCCGTAAGTTTCTTAATCTTCTTCTCTGATTTTATTGATTACTGAGTGTTATGAATCTTATGATTGACTGAAGTTAAGTTCATATACTCTTCTCTTTGGCTTTAATTGGTGGGTAAGATCATGAGTTTTCTGGTGTTATAAGCGCTCATGTTTTGTTCTCGAATTTAGGTGCATAAGTTTTCTGTTTTAGTAGTTTCTGCTGGGTTTATCTTGGATTTATGTTATTCACTAGTCTACATTTGATACATTTATTTTAAGAAAACTTCCAAATAGACAAGCAAACATTTGTAGTTTGCATGATGAGTTCAAGACCTTTAGCTGACTTACTTCATGTAAATTTACAAACCCATCAATATGCAGCTATGTTTTGCTTAGAAGATGGAGTACATCTTTTAGTTGATATTGCGGACTTACAAGAATGAAAATTCATAGCATTTTTTTTTCTGAGACTAGATAATCTCTCCTTAACTGATTATGAGTTTTAACATCACCTGTTTGTGATTTTTGCTGATGTTTGCTAACATTTACCTTTGTTCCTTGGTTTCTTCCCACGCTTCCATTTCTGACTTTTTCTTCAGGCCCAACATGGTAGAGTGACCTTTACTCCCAACTATGCTTTATCATTTTTTGAAACTGTTGCCTTTTCATTGATGATTTTGTTTTATTTTTTGCCAGATAACTCTAACAGGATTCATGTTCTTGCTCACATCCGCTCTGCTTGGCTATGTGAGTGGTTTTTTCTATCATCTTTATTTTCTGCTGTTAGGTTTTCCTGTTTATAATGCTAATCTTTTAACTCAAGCTTCACATTTAGTTTTAAAAATGTTCACATTTATCTTTACTCTGGTTATGGTGTGCATGATGCTTAAAATGGGAATGTTATTACTTAGTAAGCTTCCCATGAATTTGTGTTATGTGTTTTTCCCAGATATATTCACCACGACTGGATTCAGCTCCTCCTAGATGGGTTAATTTCGCTCATGGATTGCTACTTTTCTTATACCAGGTTTGCTTAAATACATCCAAGCAGAGTTGCCTTTGATTTTTCTGTGGAGTCCTCTTTATTGTTACACATTGCTATTTTATTTCTATCTTCATTGTCTCATTTCCCATCACTTTCCTGTTTGACCTTTTTCACAAAAATCTTAAGACGTTTGATGCCGTTGATGGGAAACAAGCAAGACGGACAAATTCCTCAAGTCCACTGGGGGAACTTTTTGACCATGGTAATGCACTGCTATCATGTTTTTTTTTTCTTCTGTTGCCTTTGTACATTCACAATTGAATATTGATGATTTATATTCTGGTGGATCTCAATGAATTGCAGGTTGTGATGCCCTTGCCTGCGCGGTATGTGTCTTCGTCTTTTCTAGTCATTTGGTACCCTGGAATTCAAGTTTCTTTTTCATGTTTTATATGTGTTTGTTTAGTTTGAAGCATTGGCCTTTGGAAGTACCGCGATGTGTGGAAGATCTACTTTCTGGTTCTGGGTGATTTCAGCTGTTCCATTTTACTTTGCTACTTGGGAGTCGTAAGTTGTCCAACTGAGTTTGATTTTGTTATTAGTCATTCGGGAATATACCACCTTCTTTTTCTTTTTCTTGGGGAAAGGAGTGGGGGAGTGGGTTGATTCGATATGCTAGCATATAAGTTTGTTCACTCCATGACCCTGCATAGAATATTTCATATGCAAAAATAGAATGTTCTGATTTATGACTTTGTTGATCCAGTTACTTTACTAATACCCTAATCCTTCCTGCTGTTAATGGGCCCACGGAAGGTCTAATGCTTATATATTTGGCCCATTTTTTCACAGCTATCGTTGGTAAACTCCTAATTTCATTCTGCTACTCTACTTGTATGTACAGCTTGAAGTTAACTTCTAAACCAATATCTAAAAACTCTTCTTTTCTTTAAGTACATTTATTTCTTTACATTTTCAGGTTCTGAGTGGTGGGATCTACAATTTGGAAAGTGTTTGCCTTTTCTGAGTTGGGTCCCCATTCTTAGTGGTAAGGCCAAGCCTAATTTAGTTGATACCATACAATTGATATTTGGCATCAAACACTACATTTTGCGAGACTTGACTGCATGCTATATTTCCGTATATAATTTGCAGTACCTATCTATATAGAGCTCGTATGCAGTTTGATTACCTTTTTTATATTTGTTGTGGATGACTATTTCTTTGGCTGCTTCACAACATACACTACTTCCATTGCAGTTGGTCTGAAATTTAATTCCTTTTTTTTTTTTCACTTCAGAAATCCCAACATACAAAGCTGTGTTGTATCTAATGATAGCTTTTGCTGTCATCCCAACACTCACATTCAAGTATGTAATTTTCTGTTCCCTAATTTTTTGAAATTTGAGTCTAACTTTCTCATGTATAATAGTTCTTTCTGTTTTTTCTATTATAACTTATTCCTGAGCTCTTAATACATGTATCATGACGTTTTCAACTCAATTGTAATTTTTCTAATTGTTCTATATGGAACCTTGTAAATTGTTATCCATACTACGCTTGGCATATCTGTGAAGACTTAAGCTACGGAAGCAGGGTTGCATTGCTAACTACACATTGTGGGCATGAACTTAGAACTATTATGTTGCTATCTTCATGATCTTACTAACCTAGAATTCCTTGGGGTATGGGATTGAATTGATATTACTATTTTCTATAGATATAACAGCAATCTGGTGTTAATATTCACAAGATTTTTTTTTTTTTTGGCTGAGTGCCTTGGTATAGTTTACCACTTCCCCAAACCATTCATGTGTCAGAGATTCAGAGCTCACGTATAAACTTAAAAATAGTCCTTTGAAGGCCATTAGACACTTGGACCTTATGTTGGATTCTGCTTGTGTGCAGTGTATCCAATGTTCATAAGGTTGTTCAAGCAAGGAAAGCAAGTATGCTATTGGCACTGGCAATGGTATTGTTTTTATCTTTCGGATTTTATGCTAGTTCTAGACACTTGATTGGCCTAATGGGTGTTTCATGTTGTTTCTTCTCAGATTTACCCTTTTGTAGTCCTTTTGGTAGGAGTTTTGGCATGGTATGTCTTTATACTTTGCGTCCACCCCTGTTTTTTTTCCTTAAATTTATTGCTATATTTTATTTCTTTTAAAAAATGGTTTCAAAGTAGTAATAATTTATTTGCAGGGGTTACTTGTCACCAGCTGACATTATGGGGAACTATCCACATTTAATCGTTTTGGGAAGTGGGCTTGCTTTTGGGTACCTTGTGGTAAGATATCCGTGTTTCTTTATAACCGTATCTTTTGAAAGTGTGGGTTTTCCATTCGAATGTAATTGCTTACTATCGGGGCTGTGAGTGCTAGATTTCCAATGTCGTTCTAAGGGGTCTTGTAGACAACCAAATTGTTTATTCTACCATTGTTGTTGAAAGGAAAGCTCTGTTTTGGCAGGGAAGATTGATTCTTGCGCACTTGTGTGATGAGCCAAAGGGTTTGAAAACTGGAATGTGCATGGTATGTAACAATCCCAAAACTGCTGGAAATTTAGAGTCTGTTGAGTGTGTATTTCTAGCAACGCAGTAATAGCAGCATCATATTTCTCAGAATTGGTTTTTATCAACAACTTCTGCATGCTTTTTTTTTTTTTTTTATAATTCAAGACCAGATTATATTACTAACTTCAATATTTATTATTCTGTGCAGTCATTGTTGTATCTTCCATTTGCCATTGCAAATGCACTCACAGCTAAACTGAACGATGGGTATGTTGTATTTGATATAATGTCGGGAGCTTTAAGTAAAGACGGGATTCTTCTGTTCTTGACAGTCTAGATGTTTCTGATTTCTTGAACTTCCTGTGTACCTTTTTGTTGCAGAGTTCCTTTGGTTGATGAGAGCTTGGTTCTTCTTGGTTACTGTGCATTTACAGGTATGGTAATTTGTTATGAAGGTCTGCGTATTGGAAATACATGACACACTACCATTTTTATGGATGTAGTATGTACTTACGAATTTCATTACACTGTACCATACCTCGTGGCTGAATTTCACTTTTCCCTGAATGCAGGGACACTCTATCTTCACTTTGCAACGTCAGTCATTCACAAGATCACAACAGCCTTGGGAATCTATTGCTTTAGGTGAGAATGTGTGTTACATTCAAAATCGAAGCATATTACTCACCAAGTCCAAATAATTTTTTGACTAATACAGCCTGAAATTTGATTAAGCGCGGTGTTCTGTGCTCATTCTTTCACCTCGACAACAGTTTGCTTCCGTTCACCAAATTTTGTTCCTTTTCTTTGGAGTGCCCATTGATACCGTACCTTTGATCCTAACTTGCGGTTTCTTGTTGAATTACAGGATAACTAGGAAGGAAGCTTGAGTGACATTGCATCAATAAATAGAACATTAGAAATATTGACATTGCAACCATTTTCTCCCTTCTCTACATCTTTTCCAATTTTTGTTTCAGCTCTGCGGGCTAAGTCGAGAATGATGCAGTTCGAGCGAGTTTTCTCGTCAGTATAATTTTGTTTTAAGATGAGTGAAGAGTGATTAAAATCCATTTCCATTCATTCTTGCTGTTGTATAAGATTTTGTTTTGTTTCTTTCCGACGAGAGTTACCGATTTAGGCATATTTTCTCTTCCCTTTGATGCATCATTTGAAATCTATGTAAGTACAAGTTTGAGCATCCGATGGTGTCCGTTTTTTCTTCTCTTTCACCTCATAAAAAGTCTCCAAGTCTGAAAATGTGAGCAGTGGATATCGACATTTGCCTGTTTTCAATCCAAAATGTAGTTTATGTATACATGACAGGAACGTAAGCAAACAATGACAACTAATGTGACGATACATGATACTGAATCTTCGCCATGTTCTTACTTACAGAAATGAAACCACAGTTGCGGTTTTATTTTTCCGACCTATAACATATGGGAAGTCAAATTATATAGCCTTCTCCAGCCATCTTGGCAATCGTAATGATACTTTCATCCAGTGCCTCGTAAGGAACACCGAATACAGTAGGTGGAACAAGAACATGAAGGATCCGCGATTAATCAATACATGTTACAAATATAAAGCCTTAATATATAAAGAGTGCATATGCGAGAGGCAGAGCGAGAGAGAGAGAGATACCTGAGAACCAAATAAAGCATAAATCGCTTCCATTGACGGGACTGAATAGATGCCCGATGCAGTAAATATGAATGTTAGAGAAGCATGAATGTTTATAGTGATCTGCAAGCAAACCAAATCACAAACAAAAAACATATCAAATCTCGGTACTACAAAAAACGAATATCAAACAAAGGATGGTTAATTACCAAAGCAAGTATGTTTTCCCTTATCAAGAATGATGATATCAAGACATACCCTACAGCACCCAGTGATCGAACCTGCACATATAATAAAACTGTTACCATCAACTAAAGCGTTTTAACTGGTTAAGAGACAACCACTGCTTCGAACAGATTCAATTAACTTTGGGGGATAAGGGAGAGAACATTACAATTGTGCACAAGAATATTGAAAGACCCCAGCTTGCTCCTAACCTGAGAAGTTGAAACATAACAGTTAAAACTGAAGTAGACTCACCATAAAACTGTGATGTCAAAAAAGTAATCCGTAGCCACTGCGTAAACTAATTTGAATCACTTCATACCTCCATAAACTTCCCATTGTAAAACCAACTAAACCGTGCTTAAGCTGCACAAGATAATTAATTAGCATGTTAAGTGCATATCATACGGTTCTTACCAAAATTTTCAAGAAAAAAAGTTCAAAGTAAAAGTGACGGTGGCTAGAACAACAATGAACTAGCTAGTCCATCTTGGTCAATCGGTATGGATCACTAGTCTGGAATGGCTTGAGAACTATGAAACTAACCTATCTCAGCTATTCTACGAGAGGAGAGATTCCCAAGTATTAAGAAGCAACTTTTTTGAACACGAAGAATCAGAATACATACTAATTCACAATAATGAGAACAACAACAGGACAGATAGCATGCTCACCAAATAGGTTAAGGCTTTCACCGGACCAGACAAGACTAGCAATAACATAGTTGTTGCAACCTAGCACGATCAGAAAACAATGGCAATTATGTAATGAAAACGCCACATCAATCTCTTAAGTTTAAACATGGCGGGTCATTGATGGTCACAAACCATAGTTTTTCTTCCAGTAGCGAAGCTCCACCTCATTGAGGTGATCACTATCGGCAGCGAGAAGAAGCTATTAAGTTTAATATTTTGTTGTATTCGGTATTCTTATTCAAACTGCTGTAATAGCAGTTGTTGTTATATATACAACTTACACACACGCATGCATTTAAACAATTGCATGTAATAAACAAATGTTGTAAAAGGGGGCGTGCTTCCTGCCCATGCTGCAACACATCAGAGCATGTGTTCCTTCTGCTGTGAAGGTGGCGTGCTGTCTGACAAGGAATATGTGCAGTATTCCTTCTGTCCAGTCACATGGGCAAGTTCTCTCAACACTCCCCCTCAAGTTTGGAATGAATGTTGATTATTCCTAACTTGCAAAGCAAAGTCGTAAACTGGTATAAGCTCAGTGGCTTTGTGAAGATGTCGGCTGGTTGTTTCATGGTTGAGATGTGAGATGTTTCGATCATTCCACTTTGAACCTTTTCTCGTACAAGGTGGCAGTCAATCTCTATGTGTTTGGTTCTTTCGTGAAAGATCGGATTCGAAGCGATGTGAAGTGCCGCTTGATTATCACAATATAGCTTGACTGGACGTTCATGTTGGATACCCAAGTCTTGTAGAACAGATTTCAACCAAGTGACTTCACAACAAGTTGCTGCCATTGAACGATACTCTGCCTCTGCACTAGAACGTGACACAGTATTTTGTTTCTTGCTTTTCCAGGAGATCAAAGATTCTGCAAGAAATACACAGTATCCGGTGGTAGAACGTCGTGTGTCTCGACATCTGGCCCAATCCGCATCACAAAAAGCATTCAATTGAATTGGACTTCTTGCAGAAAGAAAAATACCTTGCCCTGGTGTGTGCTTAACGTATCGTAAGACTCGCTGGGCTGCCTCCAAGTGTGGAGTTCGAGGCTTCTCCATAAATTGACTAAGAATATGGACGGCATACACCAAATCAGGGCGCGTGATTGTCAGGTAGATTAGTCTCCCAACAAGTCGTCGATAATAGGAAGGATCAGTAATCCATTGTCCTTCGTCATTTCTGAGTGATAAGTTTTGCTCCATAGGAGAGGTGGCTGGTTTTGCGCCAAGATGACCTGCATCCTCAAGTATTTCAAGGGCATATTTTCGCTGTGAGAGGGTGATCCCCTTGCTAGAGCGAGCAATTTCAATGCCCAAGAAATATCTTAATTGGCCAAGGTCTTTCAACTTGAATTGCTTCATAAGAAAAGACTTGGTATCTTCAATTGCTTGTATGTTATTTCCTGCCAAGATAATATCATCAACATAGACAAGGAGGGCAGTGAATTTACCATCATGGTTTCGGACGAACAATGAATAATCTGCCTTGGATTGTTGATAGCCGGCCTTTCGAAGAGCACAAGAGAGTTTGATAAACCATTGACGAGAGGCTTGCTTAAGCCCATACAAAGATTTATGAAGTTTACAAACTCGTGTCTCCCCCTTTCGTCCGAAACCAGGAGGCAAGGACATGTAGACATCTTCTTCAAGATCACCATGGAGGAAAGCGTTATTAACATCAAGCTGGTGGAGGTGCCATTGTTTGACCGAGGCAACAGCAAGGAGTAGACGAACTGTAGTCAATTTTGCAACCGGAGCAAAGGTCTCTCGATAGTCTAAGCCTTCAATTTGGCTATAACCTTTGGCAACCAAGCGTGCTTTATATCGCTCAATGGATCCATCGGATCGAAATTTGATTTTGTAAACCCATTTACATCCAACCGGCTTCTTGCCAGGGGGCAATGGTTGCAGAGACCATGTCCTATTCGCAGCAAGGGCTGCCAGTTCTTCTTCCATAGCGAAACGCCAGTGAGGGTCGCGTATAGCCTGTGAGAATGAGCTGGGTTCGATGGCAGCTGAAATGGAAGTGGTGAAAGCATGATGTCGAGCAGATAAACGATCGTATGTGAGGACATCAGACAAAGGGTAAGGAGTACCTGGTACTTTGGTCAACGCCGAGTGAGATGAAGGGACGGACCGAGAAGGGAGGTTGATGTCGATGTGATATTGTTGAAGATAACCAGGTGCATGAGTGGGTCGTTTAAGACGAGGTGGTGAGGTGGAAAGAAAAGGAGATGAAACCGAAACAGGACTCACCGGCGAAGAAGAGGATGGATCGACGGAATCCTGCTCCAGTAGAATGGACGGATGAATGATGGGATCATCATAGGCAGTATCTTAAGTATGTGGAAACACAAGTGGTGAAACTGCAGCAGAAGATGAAAAAGGGAACACATGTTCATGGAAAATAACATCACGAGAGATAAAGATTTTACCCGTGTGAAGGTCGTAAACTCGATATCCCTTTGTGCCATATGGATACCCAAGAAAAAGACACCGTGTGGCTCTTGCATCAAATTTTGTGGGACGATGGTGGTGGGTGGAAGAAAAACATAAGCAACCAAACACTCGCAAATGTGCATACGCTGGCTGTTTGTGGTGAAGTATTTCATAGGGTGATTTGCTTTGAAGAAGAGGAGTGGGAGTCCGATTTATGAGATAAGTGGCAGTGAGGATTGCATCACCCCAAAATTTCTTAGGAAGATGAGATTGAAAGAGTAAGGCTCTAGCAACATTGAGTAAGTGGCGGTGTTTGCGCTCTGCTACCCCATTTTGTTGGGGAGTAGAGACACAACTTGTTTGATGGAGAATCCCCTTATCTGAAAAAAATTGGGTCATAAAAAATTCTGGACCGTTATCACTACGAAGAACCTTGACTCGTGTGGAAAATTGTGTTTCAACAAGGTGGATGAAAGTGATGAGATAAGATCGTGCATCTGATTTGTGATTCATTAAATAAACCCATGTGCATCTTGAGAAATCATCCACAATAGTTAAGAAATATTGTGCCCCTGTGATGGTGGGAACATGGTAACCTCCCCAAATGTCAACATGAATTAACTCAAAAGGAGCCTTTGTGGTGATAGAACTCAAAGGAAAAGGAGCACGTGTTTGTTTGGCTAATGGACAGATCAAACAATCATCAATGCTACAAAAATTCAAATTTTTAATGCAAGTAGAGAGATGCCGTAAGGTCTTGTTGGAAAGATGGCCAAGGCGTTGATGCCAAAGCTGGGAAGAAGAAGCAACAATTGACGCTGAATTGCACCTGGTTTTCATCACATTATCAAGGTAGTAGAGTCTTTCTCGTTCAGTTCCCGTCCCAATCATCTTCCCCGATCGTTGGCCCTGAAGTAGACACATTTTATCAGTGAAGATGACAAAGCAAGATGAGGTATTAGTAAGTTTGCTGACAGAAATTAAATTCAGTTTAAATGATGGAACACAAAGCACGTTGTGAAGGGTGAGATCATTCGAGAGATGAACTGTGCCAATATGTGTGACATCGGCAAGTGCATGATTGGGTAAGTGCACTTGTCGATTATATACCGGAACACTTGTGGTCATTAAGCTTGGTGAGCAGACCATGTGGTCTGTGGCGCCTGTATCGAAAATCCAGTCCCTTCCCTTATTGAGAGCAGAAGCACAAAAAACTCTACCTGACAAGTTATTCATAGTAGAGGTGGTACCGACATGATTAGATGTGGAGTTGGATTGACTCTTATCAAGGAGTGCAAGCAGATTGTGATATTGCTCGGAAGTGAGGCTGTAGGACGAAGAAAATGTTGCTGGAGGCGTTGGCTGGGTATCAACATGATTAGCCTTGGAATTGGAACCCCTGCGATCCTGATAATCTCCCCTATTGCTGTTGTCTTTTGCCTTTTTTCAGTTTGCGGCATTGATCAATGGTGTGACCTTTCCAATTACAGTAGTCGCACTTGAGGTGTGCACGACAGGTATCTGAAGTGTGTCCAGTTGCATCACAACGACCACATTTTGGATGGGAATTTCTTGGAGAAAAATTCCTACCAGAGTTTCGCATGTTATCCCGCACGGCGAAAGCTGCAGTATCGGTGACTGAGGACCTTCCAGGAGCATGTATTGAAACTGTTCTTTGCTTCTCATCTTGAATAATAAGTGAGAAAGCTTTGTTGACAACAGGGAGGGGATCCATAAGTAAAAGTTGCCCACGAACCGCAGCGTAGGATTCATTGAGGCCCATGAGAAACTTCATGGTTTTCTGACTTTGCTAAAACTGCATTAATTCTTTTGCAGCTCCACATGTACAGGTTGGGAGAGTGCACATGGCATCACGTTCATCCCAAAAACTTTTCAGTTTGGTATAATATGCACCAATGTTCAAATTTCCTTGAACACTTCCATGTATCTCTTGTTCAATATGGAAGAGATGTACACTGTTTGTGTGAGAGAAACGTTCCTTCAACTCATTCCAAATATCAGCTGCAACATTGTTGTAGATGACACTTGCTCCGATATCTTTCGAGATAGAGTTGAGCAGCCAGGATTTCACGAGGTTGTTGCAACGAGTCCACTGTTGGAATTCGCTTGTGGATGTAGACTCGGGCCTTTTGATGGATCCATTGATGAATCCTTCCTTGTTCTTGGCATTGAGGGCCATGACCATGGCTCGGCTCCAAGTGGAGTAATTTTCGTCATTCAAAGGGTGTGTGACGAGGATCGCTCCAGGCTGATCAGAGTGATGAAGATAAAGAGGATCACTGGGATCTTCGTATTTGGTGTGTTTGCTGGAAGAGTCAGTTGCCATGTCGGCAGGCAGTGTGCACTGTGCAGTGGCTGTGCTTGGCTGTGCTCTGCGGCTGTGCTTAATGGCTGTGAATGTTCTTCTGCGAGTGTGCAGTTTGCAGTGCACTGGTTGCTGCAGTAACAGATCACAGTATAGCAGCGGAAGAGTGAAGGCATAGCAGAGCAAAGGATTGCCTATGCTCTGATACCATATTAAGTTTAATATTTTGTTGTATTCGGTATTCTTATTCAAACTGCTGTAATAGCAGTTGTTGTTATATATACAACTTACACACACGCATGCATTTAAACAATTGCATGTAATAAACAAATGTTGTAAAAGGGGGCGTGCTTCCTGCCCATGCTGCAACACATCAGA